GAAAAAATTCACATTCTGAACTCAAAGAAAATATACCAGCTTTTGTTAGGAAAGACCAGTGAAATCTGCCACATCAGCACTATGGCAACATAGATCTTTCTACAGCGCCTTTGGCAATGCTTTGAAAGGCTATTTTAGTGTAGAGCTAGATTACAGTGTTTTATGTATGAGTATAATGGTGCAATTTAAATCTTTCTCTTTAATTCCAGGCAAACTTGATTTTATGACTGCATATCTTTTGTCTTCTATATTGGAAGAGAGGTCCATTCCCTGAAGGAAGAGGTGATTATACATACAAGCCATTACAAGAAGAAAACTGAAAACAAAAAAAAGAAAAAGGAAAGAAAGATCCATCCGAAATATAAGGCAGAAAAGAAGCTAATGCCCCTATTGTCCAAGAATGACTCTCACTCTGGAGGGGTGATCCTGAACAATAATAATTTTCTAAAGTGTTCCATCATGAATAAAGTACTCAATAATAAAAGAACTGTATCTGCTTGCACTATTAAAGGATAATTCCAGCTTCAAAATGTTAAGAGATTTAGAGCTCCATGTTAAACAAGGAATTGAACAAGATTTTTATTATGATAACAAAATACTGTCCACAGCTTGGATAATGAGTAGGGCAATTTAACAGCGCTCCTAAGAAAAAAATTCAGCACACAAATTAAAGAAAAGTTGAAACATGATCGGTCTCCTAAGTTTGCAATGAATCCACAGCTGAGAAAAATAAAATTCAAACCAGAAAAGATTTTAACTTACAATAATGAGGAGACAGTCCTGCAACTTTTAAGGAATTATCACAGACCTGTATTCTGGTGACAGCAGCAAATCCATGCTAGTATTACTAGGATAGCTAATTGCAATTTATTACCAGAACAGTATAGCTTTCTGCTGACCATTTTCCTTCAGACTTCCAAAGCACAGCATTTTCGTGAGTCAGATGAACAGAATAGTATTGAACACGTAACCTATTGATAAACCCAAGCTGAAAAGTCAGCCGTGGCTGAAGTGCTTAACGGATCAAATTTCTCTCACTCAACAGCTATTTTGTGGCTTTCATTTCCACACTTCTTTTGCATTTCTCTGCTATTTTCCCTTATAATGATGATTTTAAAAAAAATGGGGGGGAGGAGGGGAGGATGATATCTAAGGACTGAAAGGAAGCAAAGCAGATGTGACATAAAAATGAAACTTGCTTATAACAGACAAACAAGGCAGGTAGAAATGGAAAAAAAAATGTGACTAGGTGCAACATAGTTTATAATTGAAAGGAAGCTAGGAAAAGGGCCAGAGAATGATCACTAGTAGCAAGAACATAAAGAAACAGCTGAAATTGAATAAATGAACCATCCTTATGGCTTGGATGATAGTAGGCTTTGCTATCGCTTTAAATATCACAGCTAATTCTAATTTCACTGCAATTAAATTGAAGTTAATTTTTTGGATTAGTAGGCTAAAAAACCTCAATGAATGTCTTTACTGTATATCCCTGAAAGCACATGTATGGAATAAAGAATAATTTTGATGTGATTACAAGAAAACCACCATATTATGAAAAATCTCTTATTTTTCACTCCTTATCTACCTGCATAGAATATCTCAAAGTTGAAAGGACAGACAAGGGTCTTCAAGTCCAATTGCTTTGGTGTGCAATATTAACCAAAATAAACATTTAAAATTATCTGAGAATTTCTGCTCTCTAACCTCCCATTCTTATAGTATGATTCAAAGTACATGTATTACTGAGGCATTTGATTTTGTGTCCCTCATTCAAGTAATTCACTAGATGACACTCTTGCGTAATAGTCAGCTTCCATGGCGTGCAGGATATCAGACTGGCTCCCAAAAAATGAGAACGCATCTTAATGAAAATAATTAAAGACACTTCTTTATTTTCTTATGAATTGATTTGTAGAGAACAATTCTTACTTTTAAACTAACACTAAACTAAGGTTTAAAAAGACTCAGTGCAATTGGCACTAGGAAGCTATTTTAAGTCTGACATCAGAGTCCTGGAGCTGTACATTCATCTGAAGCTGAGCCATCATGCTCAAGGCAAGGTAAAAACACGAGAATTTTACTTATTTTCTCTGATTAAGTTATTGCAAGTATTTCTCACTGTAAATTCCAAGTATAGTAACAGTTTCTGCAAGAGCGAGTTACTATTTTTGTATATGGCCTGAAGTAAAAAGCAATGAAAAAATTACAAAACGCAAGTAACTGCTTTTGGCCACAGACATTTCCATTTCTCTCATCTAATTAGATTGGGAGACTGAAATAATGAATCCTGTTACTTTTCTTTTTTTTTTTTTAGTCTCAGGGTATACCTGAGAGTTTATGATTCAAAGCATTTCTCCAGTAATATATGAGAACTACTTCTGTACTAATGGAGATCACCTTGAGTTCAGAATGATCACTAAATGATTTAACAGTTCTAGATTTATTTCTCCAGCTACTTTGCCAGTCCCCTGCACATTTAGAGACTCGATTCCACCTCAGGTGATGTTTGTAAAGGATAAATTCAGCATGCTTCATTTCTGTGCCTGCAGTCTACAAAAACAGAAACACCGAGTGCTTGTTGTGCCATATAAGTAGTAAAAGATTTATATAATATAGTGTCCCTCTAGATTTGTGGCACATATATAACCTGCAAAAATGCTTCTGTAAAGAAATCTGCTGTCCCAGACCTGATCCAGCATGATGGTGTTGGTGGGTTAACATAGAATGAAGAATACTGTGAATATTGTTCTCAGCAGAGGATACAGTCAGAAATATGTATACATAATCCATAGATCATCACATAGATAATCCTCTTAATTTTGGAGTTTAAGAGTTAAATGTATTTGACCCTATAAAGAAATGCATTACAAAAGCCCACTTCTGCAGAGGCAAACATGGTAATCAGAGATTAGACCCCCTGCTTTCTTTGTTTATATTTGTAAGAATTACGTAGGCATAATTTTTTTTTATAAGCATTGTAATACTTTCTAAGAATTACATGCCATTTTGTTTTCGAAGTGAATATTTCAGAACAGTGTTTTATTTAAGATTATGTTTCCATGAAGATTTCAGTTCTGCTTTACACTGGAGGTTTGTAAGAAAGCTTGCCAAAATAGTGATACAAGTAAAATAGTCATTTTAGAGAGCAAATGTTAGACAATCTATCCAGTTTTCAAACAGAAAAATGTGCTTGGGATGTACTTGTAAGTTGTACCTACACTGTAGTTTTTGTTATTATATGCAGGTTGCTCTGAAAGTAATGCCTCCTACTTATTTCTGTGGAAACTACAACAGATACAAAGAGAGCAATAACGTTAATGGATACACCAAATTCTCAGTTACACACCACTATTTTTCATCACAGTCACACCATTAACTACGTATTTTTGCCAGCGATGAACAAGAGACACCATGCTCTGCTTGTCAAAATCTGCACAAGCAAAGGACTTACTGTCATAGTTGCCACTGTTGAAATATAGCACCCACTGCTTCACTGTGCTCACATCCATTGTTCAGTCTCCATAAACTTCATCAAGCACCAATGAATGCCAGTGGGTGCCATTTTTTCTGCATGGAGGAATTCGACAACCCACATTTTCTTTATACACATTTCCATGTCAGGCACCATTCTATCAGACTGCTCCTCAGCTGCTACCTATCACAAGACAACAAAATATAATTGAATATTGTTGGGAAGGTTCAACCTGTACTGCCATACCACCAACGCCCATCTCTGACATTGTGGACCAACAGAATAAAATAGGAAGCATTACCTTTTGAGCAGCCTTTGCAGTTTTGTCAGTCAATAGGAAAAAAAAAAAAGGATTTTATATTTAGTTAGCTTTGTGGCAGGAGTTATCATCTTTCCTAAGTTTAAGATGGAATTAAAAAAAGAATTTTGCATTGTTTTGGTAGCAATACCAGATGGTTGTCTGCACCTTTATTTACAAGTCTATAGATCTCACACACTTGTAAAATAAATGAGTGTTTCTTTCTGAATTCAAAGAGGCACATGGTTATTTGTGTGCTTAGGAAGCGGTAGATGCTGGACATAACCTAACAAGCATAGTTGCCTGAAAAATCACTTTTAAGCGCTGAAATACTTTTTCATGGCTGGGAGATGGAGAACAAACCACGCAGTTTCTTGGACTTGCTTCTTACTCAGTAAAATAACAGAACACATACGTTATTTCCTAGTCTATGTAAATATAGAATAGGTAGTAGACAGCACATAAGTAATATAACATTGTTTCTGTTCAAGTATTTATGAGGAAGGCATCGTTCTGTATTCAACTCACCTCCTACAGTTATCAGAAAGTAAAAGCAATAACAATAACATTCTTTTGAATCATTTGTGTAGTCAGCCATTTACTGCATAAGTTTCTCCTACATTTTATTATAGGACAGACAACAAAATAGGTAGAACTGTTAAAGAGTTAGATGGAAAGAGGACTCCAGAGGTCATCTTGTCCACACTCCAGTTTCAGAGAGCTAATTTTAAAATTTGTTTATGTTTATGGTCTTCCTCAGTCAAGGTTCTGGAGATCTCTAAGGATGGAGATTTTTACACCAATACTCGGCAAATTCTTTCTGTGCTTTTGGTGAATAATATTTTCCTTATATTCTCTGTATCTTCCTTTGCCACAATCTGGGACATTTTTATCTAGTTTTTCCATTGTGCATCTCTAAGAACAGCCTGACGCAGTCTCGCTTGTTTTTTTTATATAGCTTTCCTAATGTCAGGTAATTTGAGATAGCAATTACTCCAGTTAGCCTTATCTTCTCTAGCTAAAGCAGCCCAATCCTCCTAATACATCCTCACAAACCAGGTGCTCCATTGCCAAACCAAATTCTAGTGGCACTTTCCCAGGCTTTCTCTTTTGTCCTGAAGGCCCCAAATCAAGATACAAAACAGACTCAGAGGAGCTGAATAGAAAGGAATAATTACTTCCCTTGATCTGTTGGCTAGACTCTTTAACAATGTGCGTGATTAGATACCAAGTATGCGTTATTGATTGATAGGATGTTAAGATTCAAAATCCTCAAACCTAGTCTTTTATGTCTTTTTCCTAAGAGCAAGAACATATAATCGTTCGTGTCCTTTTCATGTGTCACTGAGGAAAATTTTGGATAAACTAGCAAGTAACGCTTTTTTTTTTTTTAGAATTTGTTAGAAATATATTTTCCTAAGAGTTGGCACTCAAAGACTGCAGCTGAATTTTGGGATGGGTGATTATTAATTTGCATGATTAAGCCCTAACTTCACAATCACTAAGTTCTGAGATGTGTGTGATATCTATTTCAGCTCCCTCTTACTTGCTTTCTGGTATTTCCTTTTGTATCAATACTAAAGCATAGCAGTGAAGAATAGGTGTTCCATTTTAGATTCTTAATACTGACAGTGAATTCTATATTGCTCCAGAGAATAGCCAAATGTCATGACTGCACGATGTTTCTGTTCGCTTAAGAAAAATATCCACTTGAATTAAAGTATAAGAGCAAATGTGTGAAACAAAAATGTGTGTCCTAGGTAGAGGTGGCTAATCTGCTGGGCTCTCATCTTTTGAACACAAGTACACAATAAATAAATTTCCCAAGTTAATTCTAAAATTGTTTCCTAGACCTCCACAGAGATTCACATGTTTTTCTCTCATTTCTTTTCTTTTTCCTTCTCCTTTCAGACCAGTCATATGAGCTGTATCACCTTTGTAGCTAAGATGAGGAGAAATAGTCTTCCATGGAATTCACACTTAAGCATAGTTGAGTCTTACTTGGAGACCAGAATATCTTTGTTTCTCTCTGTTTCCCTGCCGATAAAGGAGATTCCTGAATAAATTTTGAAACAGACTATATCCAATTTCTACTGTATCACACTAAATCTTTCTCATTAACTGCTAGCCCACTGCAGCCAGCTGTATTTTAACATAGCTGTGCTTTTCAAAACAGGGACTTATATTTGAAAATATAACCACATAATTTGTAATTATTTGTAATACCCAAATCCAGATGCTTAAGACAGTCTAATTTGTTCTTCCAAATTTATTTCCAAATTGTCCATCTACACTGCTTACCTTTCTGATCATTCTCTAGACTGCTGCTGAAACCTTTCAAACCATTTTTCACCACGTGAAAGTTGTTTCTCTTGGCCTCCATTCCTGGTGGATAATTATATACCATTAGTGTTAAGCAGAAAAGTTCTTGATAATCTTTCTACAGAAAGGTATCAGATAACTTGTATGGGAAAACTGAACATGATGAACAGTAGAAAGGAAGAATATAGACGGCAGGAGAAACAACACAAAGCATCATTAATTCCTTCTGTTCCATTAGATCAATTAGTTCATATGAATCATATGCCAAGCAATGGACTTTCTTTCCTGACCCTGTACAGCTCTCAGTCACCTGTCTTCCTCTAAGACAGCTACTTATACATGTGAGTGATATATGATTTTCAAGACAGTGCTCAGGTTGATGGTGCAAGCAGATGTCTCAGTGATCCAGACACCAGCTAAAATGTTGATAACTAAAACCTACTCTAAATCTGCTATTAAAATGAAAGTCTGTAGCACCAGACTCTGAAGAAGAAAAGCTGATTTACATCTGCATTTGTTCAAAATAGAAAACAAATAGGAATAGTTTAAGCTATTAGAAAACAGGCAGAGAAGATGCATTAGCACAGGTATTTCATCTTTAGACTACACTGTCAGCAACAAGCATCAACTGTATGAGACAAAAATCTGGACTGACAGTTATCACAGAGGTTTAGTTTTCTGCGTTAAATTGCTCCGCTCTATAAAGTGTTGATTGCTTAAAAAACATAGTTATGCAAACTAAGATTTGTAATTCCTTAATTACACTGCTTCCACACTGGTGCACACTTAAACAGCAGGAAAGAGAGCAGTCAAACTCAAAAAACATTTTCATGATGAATACATACATCTATAAATCTGTGATATCTACAAACATGAAATGTCATCATTTTAATGATAGTTGTAGTCAAGGCTTTGAAGTTTAAATGCTACATGGTGATAAATATCATAAAATACCTAGCATTAAATTGCCTATTGCATTATTCCTCTCAATTAAAACACAACATTTGTATAAGTGGGTCTTCTGCTTCCTGCTATGTTACATTTTGCCTTTTTAGGGGCTTTTCTCTGGAATAATTTGCTACTCCTGTTGCTGAATTTTGCCTTATGCAATCTCTGGGGCATTGCAGTGCTGCTTGTCTGGTATTAGCTGGGAATAAACTAGAAAGCTTGTAACTATTACAATTTGTATGTGTATTAGAACCTCACAGATACACAAATAATTCAAAAGTACCCCTCTGTCTCTTTCAGCAAACAAAAAAATGAAGCGGTCTTAAGATTTAGAAAGCTAATTACAGTTGGTTGTAATAGACAGAGTGGGAAGAACCTGCATATAGAAACAAGATGGTCGCTTCACGTTCTTTCATATTGTTTACTACAGCAGGAATCTGGAATGTGTAGAGATCAGGCAACTTTTCTTTTCATATTTATACAGCTAATTCAGAAGTCAAGAGTCATGTCATTACCTGGCATCACAGTTCAGAATTCCCTTGATCCGGAGACTCAGATTTTACCAAAATATCATGAGGAAAATATTATTTGTGCTCTTTGAGGCAAACCTTGCTTCATTTCCTATCTTAAAAAACAAAACAAAACAAAACATAAAATCTTGCTTGATTTACTGGCAACATGCTTTTAAAGTACTAATATCTGCAGCAGGTTACATCAGCTGAGATGTTACGTAGCCACAACGTCTCAATTTTAGGTAAATAACTTACAACCTATGGAATGCTTCAGAGTATGAATAGGTTTTGTTATCCTTCATTTCACCAATTGCACTGATAATTCCTATTTCACTGTCAGAGAATAATCAACAGGGAATGATCCAGGCATTGGATGTTACGGTTTTTTATTTTGCAGAAATATTAGGTTTCAGCTTAGCATATTCTTTTCCTGCTTTTCTTGTTATACAGAGGGAGATATACAGCACAGTTTGTAATCACTTCTAGACTTTGCAGTTTAAAAAAAAGTTAGGGACAGGAAAAGCAGGGTACAAATATTTTATTCATGTACTGAAACCTTCTACCTCTTCTAAAGCGTGTGAAGTGAGGTAGGGAGAAGCTCTAGAAAACTAAAAACTTTCATGTAAGTGGCTCCCTTAGACTCTTCAGGCTACCAAGTATTAAAAAAATATATTAAAATAGGGAGGTTGCAATTATTTTGCCTGCCAACCTTGTATATGTTTTAAAAAAGGTGAACTATAACATCATGGAATCAAATCAGTAACATTCCAATTCTACAAGAGCATTGCATAGATAGTTCTGTATGCACTCAGAGCCACATTTATTTCATTTTTGCCCCTGCATGGTCAGCTGGGGAACGTAGGAAGGGTAAGAGCATGTAGCAGATTTCTAGACTGGCTTTTTCTGAAAAATTCTACCAACTTTGAAATAAGCCACACTTTATGATTAATATAAAAAATTTACCTTAAGAGTTCGTGAAAGAAAGAAAAAAGTCAACAAAACTGCCAATTGCTGTAGGTGGAGATTCAGCTCTTTTTTTCCTCTCATGTTTTTCTCTCGAGAGTACATACTAGTCACCCACTGCCTTCTCTCAGCTCAGAGCAGGGAAGTAGCAGGACACTACACAGCAGGATACAGCTTACTGACCTTGCAGATCATAGCACTGGGGAGCAGCAGTAGTGTTCATTTTGCATACTTGCCTTCAAAGCTTCCCAAAGCAGTTTTGCAGAATCCAGACCCACGTGTACGAAGCTCTGCAGAATTTGGACTTTATCACAATCCGCACCCGATGGCCGTGTCTGTCCTGCTACTGTTTAAAACAACAACAACACAACTACAAAACAAAGGAATAACAAAATAAGAAGGAAAGCATTCTCTAGCAGAAATTCTAAGCAGAAACTGCACAATAGCCAGTGATTAGAGGTATTTTTCTTTACTATGTTCATGTAATTGTATTATTATGTATTTGGACTGGATGATCTTGAAGGTCTTTTCTAACCTTGGTGATTCTGTGATGTAAGGTTTAAAGAAAAAGAGCAAAATTGATCTTTGTACTATGAGAAAGAGCAAATATCAAGCACCAGCACTCCAGAGAATTAGGATTACTGAAGCTGCTTTATACTTTTTTTTTTTTTGAGGAAGGAAAGATAGCTATCTAGAGGACAACTACCTGTACATTTTCATTGTCTCTGATGTTAAGGGGTTTCCAAGTAAAGCTCTGCAATTAAGTTTTCTGCCAAAATATATTAGGAAATGAATGGAGTGGAAAAAGAAGAAGGTAGTTATCGAGCTTTTCCTTTTGTGTCTTATTCTACAAAGGCCATTTGTGACCTCTCCATTTTTGCCTGAGGTGCCAAGAGGTGTTTGCTTACAGTGCACCCACTCAAGATTATGTGGTGAAACAATAGGTGTATGGGGTACGAGTGAATACAATTGTGTAAGCAAGTCACAGGGTTGTTCTGATATTTAACTGAAGGTGAAAGTTTTCAAAATCACAATCCTATTAATTGCTGAAAGCTTAGCATCTCATCACCAATGCTGTCTAAAAGCTTCCAGTAGCTTTTGCAGTCTGAGCATAATATCCATTGTATGTGTGAAAGAAAAATCACAGAACCTCAAGTCAAGTCACATAATCACCTAGAAAAATATTAATTCACCTCACCTCCTAGTGCTACCTCTTAGTTTATGCCTTGATGACTTTAATTGTGAAAACTCAAATGAAACAAATGCAGCCTGCGGCATGCCATGAAAATTGGGAGAAAGAAATCACACTCTGTACAGACAAGGGAAGGTGAACAGAAGCCTGCTCTGAACATCCCAAAAGAAATTTGTCCCTCCAGTGCAAATGAGATGAGTGGAAATCCTTCCTCCAGCCACATCCCAGAGCAAGCAATACTAGAAGACTTGCCTTCCTAGATTAAAAACAGACATTTCAGACATACTGGCATTCTTCTATCAGTTGCTGGTGAGTAAAACAAAGCATTATAGTTTTCCCGCATACTTTGAGGAATTTATGTTTAATAAAACTTTTCCCACACCAACTAACAATCAAAAATCAAATAATAGAACTAGGGAAAGTATAAAATGACAGACCCAGTACAGCTGAACGTCTCCATGTATTACTTCCAAAACAATGTCACCTTACAATAAACAGATTCTCAAATTATTCATTCATTATCATAATACCAGAACATTAACCTTCAGTAAATTATATGCTTGAGTTTTCATTTTAGCAGAATATTTAACTGTTTTTTTAGAAGGTCATAAAAATGAGAATTAAAAGAAAAAAAAAACTTTTTGCAGAACTAATTCTTCCAAGGGTATTTTAGTCTACAAATTGTCTATACACAAAAATTAATAAAAGCTCAAGCACCATCATTTAATGAGTTTTCCACATGGTCAGTTATCTTCACATCTCTTTTTCTTTGCCTTTTTCCTCTATTAGTCTTTTAACTCTATTAGTTAAAAACAGACAAACCGACAAAACAACATAGAGATTATTTGTTAGCAAGCCACCTTGAATGGCACTATCATCTCTGATTTCCAAAAGACATTTAAAACACATGCAACTCATTCCAAAAATTGCCAGCTGATCAATATAACTTGTTTCTCACAACCCATGAAACCTAGTGTCCCTTTTTACTATCTTCATTCTCAGATATCTGGTAATGCAAGCCATCTGAAGTCCTGTTTCACATAGATTACCATCTCTAAAAGGAAAATCTCTTCTGAAACTGGATTTGGTACAGTAAAACTGATCCAGGAAACCACAGAATGTCACTGATATGTTCTGCCACTATTTTTAACTTTTCAGAAATATAAAAAGAGAAAATTTCAGGATGGAGAATTTTGATTGACACAGTTTTGTTGATTAGGAATACTATTTTTGCTTAGAAGTTGTATATTCTGTGTTTATCGGTTAACTACATCTTTTTGATTGGTACATATAGACTCAGTCCCAGTGCTGTTTTAGTGCCCAACATTTCAATAAGCCACTTGCAAGGTGGCTGTAATTATGTAACCATGGTAACATTGTTGATGTAGGAGTTATGTAAATATAAAAGATCGGTCTTTAAAGCCAATAAGAATCAGGCACCTAATGTACTAATTACTGTGATTAGGAAACATTTGAAAAATTTACACATTAATTAAGATAAAAGGTTTATTTAAGGGAATTAAGGCTTGGAGCTATTTTCGGCTAGGAAATTGTTCATCAGATCTTCTTTTTCTGCAGATGATCTTATGAGTTCTATGTAGATGAAAACACAACTAGTTAAATCACGAGCACTTATTTAGCCTTATTTAAATCAGGAATTTATCTGGCCATTTTGATGTAACCTGGTTGAGGGACAAATGGAATAAATACAGGCAGGAAAAAAAGAGGCAATTCTTTTTTCCCTGAACACTCCTACAGTCAGGAGAGCCTCAGCACCTCACATGAAGGATGAGATTTGATTCTACAGAAAAACCACTCAGTCAATACTGCATTGCTTCAGAATTCCAGAGAAAATTCAGGATAGATTCAATCTACAGTAATAATATGCAGAGAGAGAAGTAATCATTTAAACAGAAATGTTTTTAAAAACTTGGATTGAATAGGTTGGGTTGCTTGGATGGTCTGTATATACAGAACTTATTTATGAGAGTCAGAAAAAGATTGAATACAATTATACAATACAATACTTAAATTTTTTATAAAGAAAAACAACTATATATTACAAGGACTAAGAAACAACCTGCAGTTAGCATTTGTTAACATTCTCTCATTGCTGAATAAGGATTGTTATTGAACCTAGTCACTATTCCAGAGCATCACAGATTCACAAACAGGAGTCAAAAACAAATACATCCCCTAAAAGATGACGTGGCTTTAACTTCTGTTGCTCAGAAGTCAAGTTTCCTCTCCTTGTATCAAGTTTTTCTTTAATTTTCATCCGTTAAAAAACATGAAGAAACTGAGTCACAAAATGTGTTATATTCTTTAAGATCATGAAACATGGATAAAGTGTTTGAGATTTTCTGGAGTTTTATGTATTAAAATTACACAGCTAGATTGCCTTAGAGTCCTACTCAAACTAACTCTCATCCTTCTGAATGCAAAAAAAAACAAACAAACAACAACAAGAAAACATCTATTTTATTGAGAAAAAGTACCATAATAAGAGAAGCTACACTTGAACATTCAACTCCTTTCATAATTTGCTGCTTGCTCCAAATCTTCTGGTCCAAATAGTGAGCTAGTGAGAAGATAGACAGCAGGATGTATGAAGGCAGGAGGCATCAGCATCCCCAAAAGAAAACAAGGGTCTTCCAAGAGTTCACTGCTGAGTGTGCAACTGCATTGGAAGTGCTAAGATAAATTTAGAGTCACGTGTTTGAAATGTAAATTAGCTTCAGCTATTTTGATTAGTCTGAATTTAAGGGTAGCTGTGTGGTTACTATAAAACTGAAGGAAAAAGTGTTGCTGTGCTTTCATATTACAGTTAAATATAAATATGCACTTGATATCAATAGCTTTTGAGAATGTTATTTGTCATAGAAAGGGAGGTGCTGTTGAAGCTAAATTCTACAATTAAGTAAATATTTTGCATAAGATGAGAACAGATCTTTG